GGCAAGGATCTCAGCATCATTCTAAGACAGGTCACAGTAATAGTTGTAGATCTGCAGTCTAGAAAATTAGGCTTAATCACAATTTTCAAAGTTAAAACATCCATCCAGATCCTTTAAGCTCCCGCAAAGGTTTGAGCTTTGGAAGGGCTGCATTTTTCCTTGCCAGCAAACAACTCACTCACTCTACATAAGTAATTTCCCATCCTGACTATCCAGCAAAAGTGCATGAGTTACGGCTTGATTGGTACATTAAGAAGAGGAAAGATGGATATTTCACCAGACACTGTAAGCTTTTTTTTCGCTGTACTTTCCTCATTTGGGTAGTCTCAGGGAGTGAACATGATTCAATTTAACAGCTCCTCAGCTGCTAAATGAAGCCAAGTTGACTATGCTTTACATTTCCATGGCAATCCCCATGCAAGCATTACAAACAATTTACAAAAAATCATGAATTAACTTCCTTATCAGGTCAGTGTTATTATTACCATTCTTCAGCTGGAGAAAGAGGGACAGCATGAGAAAGTGATTGCCAGATGCCTTGGAGCTTGTCTTCCCTGTGCAATGGAGGTTCTCCCCACTAGCAATGACAAAGCTTCCAGGGTCAGGCACAGTGACTGATAAGGCATAAAGAAAGGGGTGGTGTAGCCCATACTACTATCCAAACACTCTTCCACCTTTGCTTCATTAATCCAATTAGACATTAGCTAACTCAATGTTAAATTCTGCTCTCCTGGAGGAGTGAACAGGCATATGGGCCTTATAGAGGAAGATAATTCCTTCCTCACTCCCTGGTGACAGGGCTACAGAATCTTGGAACAATAGTAGATTTGGTGGCCCCAACAAAGATAATTTTTGACAGTGAATTTTTGACACTTGTGGTGGGGTCCTAACTTCTCTCTCCCCATTGTAATTCTCCCTTCACTATAGCTCTCCTGAAGACTTTTTGTAACTCTTTATTTCAGCAATACACCCTTGAATAAGGACTGACCAACACACAGGAGTTTTGCATGAACATCAAAAATAGACTATAGCTCAAGGCAGAAGAATCATGAAGTATATTCATAATAAACCATCTAATTAGCCAGCAAACAAAAATAATCTGCTTTTCCAAGGAGGAATCTTTTCAAAAAGAATATTCCTGATGTCCTAGGGCAGCATTACTCTTGCTTTCAGTATTCTTAATGTTTTCATTCAAATGATGTAATAATTTCTAAAAACTCACATTAATTCTCTTATAAGCAAACATAATAAGCCATAAAAGCATCTTGTTCCAGTGCCTGGGAACAGCCTTTGAAGGTCTTTAGTGTGACTATTTAATGGTCTGTTAAGAGTTTTAAGGACTTTTTTTTTATTTTACCCTCTCTAGCAGGTAATCTTTTCCCAAGTGGCTTATGGGTAATGATAGACAAGTTAATGTACAAATTTTTGTTTCAGAAAAGTCCCTTTAATGAAGGATTTACTGACATGTAATTCTAGAAACATTTGCAGTAGTTTTAATCTCTTTGCAGGACTTGTGGATTGCATAAATGAGCTCAGCTGTACACTAGAGAGCAGGCCCAAGCACCACCCTAAATATGAAAGACTCAGAAATATGAATCTCACCTTACTCTGTCAATTTGGTGTCAGTGACAGTACCTGTGATTAGCTGGAACTGTCTAGGCTGCCCAGGAAGTCTGTTTTTTTTCTGCAGAAGAGAAATGGCATGGGTGACATTTGTACATAGCCAAATTGGCACAGGAGGACAAAGAATTTCGTTCTTGGCTTTATCACTGAGACAGCTAAAAAGTAAAAATAATGGAGTTGCACAGTAGTTTCTCTGGTGGATGTTTGCCCATTTGCAAAGAAGTTGAGAGTGCAACCTTTTTAATTCAGACCACCAGGAAGCCTTCTTATAGCTCTAACTGGATACAAACACTGAAATTTCAGTGACCCTGAAGTGTGTGAAGTGAGGGTTAACAGCTGTGTGACCTGTCCTGCTTCCCACATTATCAGAGCGATGCATGTGGGGATAAGGTAGAAAATAAAAGCAATGTGACCAGAAGCAAGAAGGTAACGAAGGGAGGATAAAGAAAAGCTACCCAACACTTTCCAAGTACATTTCTTTCAGCAGAAAGGAGCATATACAGGGAGCTCAGAGGCCATGGGGATATTTACCGGTTGCTGGACAGCCTGGCCAGGAGGGGCTCCAGCCAGCCCTTCTGACACTCGCAGTGCGAATCCATGAAGATGAGCACATCACCGGTTGCCCGCGCAGCTCCTAGCATCCGACCCCGGATGACTCCGAGCCTCTTGTTGCTCCGGATGAGCTTCACACCATCCAGCTTAGAGATGTATTCACTCAGAGCCGACTTCAGGGGCCCTGTCAGAAACAGAACAGTCACTGAAATGTTTCAGCTTTGATTCAAGATTTGTTAAAGAAAAGCAACAGGTAGTAGGAGATGCTACTTCTTGCTGGTAAAATGTTTTGGGGGCATTTGTTTTAAGTGGCCAAGTAGGCCACGTTCCAAATATTTCCACAGTGGCATAATGTCAAAGGGAAGTAGAGACTAATGGAAAATGAGACTCACTAGGTGTGAAGGTATTCCTGTGGGAAGCTTAATAGCCTCCTCTCCTGTTTTCAGCAAAAGGTGGATGTTCTCATCATCTCAAAAAAATACACAGTTCACAGTGACGTACTACAGGTGTTTGGCTTTCCCAACCACTTTGGATTACTTTAGCATTACTTTTCCATTCTATGTTTCAGCCAAAATCCAAGTCTGGAAATTATGGCAGCAGATCTGGTCCAGTGGGAAAGCTAAGATTTGCATACTGTGATCTTATTTTAAAGTAAGAAATTTCAGAGTGGTTGTAGATGATGGGGGGGGGGGGAAAGAAACATATTTCAAAGTTGAAAGGCTACACTGAATTCTAAGGATGGAAGACTGAAATCTGGGAGCCAGCTCTGGGCTCTGCTTAGCTCTCTTTCTGAGAGTCCTCGTTGCCTTCTACTCTCCTCATGCACTTTTTGGGGGAGGACAGCTTCTTCCCTGAAGCTTTGGAAAAAAGAGAGCAATTTTACATACAGAGAAATAGGGGCTACCTTGCTGGCTGAGATCGTCAACGAGGATGATATCCTTGAGGGAGGCCTTTGGGGCTGTGTCCATAATGCTGTACACGGTTCTCAGCAGAGTAGACCAGGCTTCATCATGGAAACAGATGATGACACTTGCAGTAGGCAGACTGGAGTCATAGTTCTGCTGTAGGCACCTGCGGGATCAAATGAGGAAGACACTGGAAACACTGGTACAGCTGGCTACTTTTTTCTTAGAGCAAAGTTGTTAGCAACTCTTGAACTTTCAGGAACGGAAAGCAGTTTAAGATCTCTTCTTAGTTCTAAGAAAAGGAAGTATTAATGTGTCCAAAACTGGAATACAAAGTGAAAACATGGGAATGACACTATAAAAATTAAAATACAAAAGAGGAAAGTTTTCCTGTGTTCTGGGATAGTTTGTTTTCTGCTCTGGCTACCTCAAAAAACAGAGCTCAAAATAGAAATGGTCCAGAGAGCAAAGAAAAACCATAAAGACAATTAGAGCAGAGAGGGGGATAAAGCAAGTCAGTCAGCCTCTACCAATTTCCACATTTTCTCAAGTAACAGAGAAAAGAAAAAACTGAAATGCAGTACCTTTAAAACTAACAACTGAGCAGTAGACATGTGGACTACTTGATCAAGATCCTAGTGAATGAACGCAACATCTCAGTCCTCTACAGGAAAGAAATGGATCCCTACACGGACTATGAATACAAATACAGATATATTTAAGAAAGTAAATGTATTTTCACTATAAATTTTGCTTTTTTCCAGTGAAAATGAGTCACTGATGAATGAGGCTGACAACTGGGTACATTCTCTCTATACCATTTTCTGCTATTACTTTACAACTCCAGGTACCAACAACCTACTGCAAGACACCTGGCTATGTGGGGCAGTGCATGGCATTCCTAGAGATGATCCAGACTGCAGCTGGAGCCCATGGCTCCTCAGTTTTCCACAGGGCCAAGATTTCACCCATGACTTTGAAACAACTTCCATCAAAATTACCATGAATTAGATGCTACTGTGACAACTCAAGCATTTAAAGATGAAAAACACTTTCCATTCTTCCTCACAGAAACTGCACATGAAAACCATAAACCCTCGCCTGTTTCATAAATGTAAGCAAAGGACCTACAAACTGCCTTCATGACACAAAGTGTTTTCTGATGTACCAGTCCTAATTCAGAGACATAGGACACGCTATCCTGGCATGAAGATGCACATTTTCCAGAAAATGCCTTCCAATGCCCCTTGCAGAAATGCAAAGACTGTGTCTATATATCTGCTTTGCTTACAATAGAACACACATTTTAAAATATTTTCATTTCCCAAGTAACAGTCATTCAGTGCCCTAACTCATTTAATCTCCAGCAGCAAGAACTTCAAGGAATTACAGAATTGGTTGAGTGTGGCCCATTGTTATTTCAGCTTTTTTGTATTACCAAGCAAATCACTATACAGGTTTTACAGTGGTTGTTAAACAATTAGCTACTTAGGAGAAACTCATGTAAGTGATATAATTTTAATATTGCTATGTTTATTAGCATTTTACTTAGTGCTTCCATTTATTACCATTTTATTTAGTGCTTCCATTCATGGACTGAGGCCCTATGTTGCTAGACATTATACAGACACAAAGCTGCTAATCATTTAAGAGAATCCAGAGTCTGAATGATTTAATTACAAGTACACATAAATGAATATTATAGATATACTTTTGGAAATATAAATTTTAAATGAGCACAATTGTAATAATTTTTTATAGTTTTTAATAGTTCATATTAATATTTTTTATAGACAGGCAAATTTTCTTGATGATTTGTGCACTGTAATAAATCTATGTTGCCCTTGGTTTACTAATTTTCTGTAATCAATAATGCTGCTTCCTCACAATTTCGTATGGGATAATTGTTTCTATTTTCAGCAGGATGGAGAACAGAATACTCTTGTGACTTGGCAGTGAATATTTTCAAGCAGAAGAATCTAGAGGTAATTAAGAAAAGTGAAGATCTGATGCAGTCCTTTTACTACCAAGCAGCTTTTAATCAGAAACGTTCTATAGATATTAGCACCTATATTTTGCACCATAACACTACAACATCTTGTTCCTAGTAGTGTGGCTATAGCAAGAAAATAAGGCTGTTGTGAAATCTTAATTGGAAAAAGAATTGAAAATAACTGTACTTGAATACATAACCTTGGTGGCAAGTGCTTAGTTGCCATGGAGATTGGCAAAGACTTGCAATATAGATATCTAATCTTCAGAAAAATTCAAAAGGGTACTGGTATACAGAAATACCTTCCCTGTAATTTGGAGCAGTTTCATAGACTGTCCATCAAAAATTGGCATTTCAAAAAATCAGGAGTGTGACTGATATGAGACATAGTGATTTAATGCAATTTGTGAAAAACAAGGAATTGTCACATGCAGTAATGAACAGAGAGCAATTCTGACATGGCAAAGGCATAGACTCCCACTCACCTTCAGGAAAATGTCTCATTGACATTCAGCTCCCAACAGCACTTCAGTGGAAGCTATACTTTTTTAATGAAAATTAAAACCTTTGTAGATACATTGTGAGTTTCTTCTGCCTGGATACGTTTGACGCTCAAGCCCAAGAGACCTTCTTAGAACCCTCATCACAAAAAGTCACAATGGCAGGCTTGATTGTGGTGTCCCAGGAGGGTGGCAATTGCAGCTGGACCAACTGATAGCAGCAAAAAGTATGAAGGGATGGAAGTACCTCAGAGTACTCTTCTGGTGCGAAGAATTTCCCATCCAATTTCAAGTAAAATGAGAGAGACTTAGTCCATGGTACTAACTCACTGAAACATCTCTAACTGGTTGGCTTCCCTCTAACTAAATAATAACAGACATTATTATGAACAACACTACTCAAATGGATTAGAGACATACACAATCTGATTCTGGTTCACTCTCGTTTTAACACTGGTGTAAAACTGGACTGACATAGTTGTGATCCAGGCCCTCAGACTAAACTACACCTAAAAAATACCATTGTGGTTTGTGTGCTGTGCTGTAAAGGACAGGACTGGCATAGAGATATACCTCTGCTGCAGGTTTATGGTCTGGATTTAGATCAGCCTCAGATGTTGAGATCTGGGTTTTCAGTCAGGGCTCTGTAAGCTGTGGTGTTGAGAGCTCTTTAGGCTGTAACTAGTCAGACAGCAAAATCCATCCAAGAGCTCTGAGACCATGGCTTAAATCTCACCAAGATTAGTATTAACTAAACCTGTGTCTTGTTGGATGGCCCTTCAGCTGCCAAAGTAAAACTGTTTTTTGGCTCACATCACAGGCAGTAAACCAGGGTTGTCATTCCTCCTTTGAACATTACATAGTTCAAAGAGTTGCCAGTGAAGCATGCCAAAAAATAACTGAAATAATATCAGCATCTCATTATTTAATGGAATTATCCAAATTAACACTGAACCTAGTCACCAAGTACAGAAAACACTGTTTCATTTCTCTTTCTTCGAGACTGTCCCCTAAATTGTAGCTGCCAGCTGCCTTTAAACATGTGAAAATGAACACTAGAAAGCAAAATTATTCTGTGTCTTGCTTAAAATGTTTTCTGTTGCATCTTTCCACCATGTCCTGGAGGAAAGCTACAATAGTTTTCATTACAGAAGGCAAGAAATAAAGATACCCACCCACATTCTTTCCCTCTTCCTTGGGCAGGGAATCAATTAGGTTGGAAAAGATCTCTTAGGTCATTGAGTCCAAGCTTTGACTGATCACCCACCTTGTCAGTGAGGCCACGGCACTGAGTGACACATCCAGTCTTAAACACCTCCAGGGACAGTGACTCCACCACCTCCCTGAGCAGCTCATTCCAATGTCTAATCACCCTTTCTGTGAAGAAATTCCTCCTAATATCCTGAACCTCCCCTGGGGCAGCTTGATAGTAGATACACCTCAGATCCTTTTTAAGAAGTGTGATCAGCTGCCCCGCCTGGGCTCCTGGGACAGCTGACTTTCAAGTATCCAGGCTCCAAATATAAGGCAGTGGCCTTACAGCCATTTACAGTGCTGCTGGTAGCTCTGGTCAGACACACCCATCTCCACCTTCCTGCCTTCCAGGAGTTTCCTTTCAATGTTTGTCACAGAATCACAGAATATTCTGAGTTGGAGGGGACCCACAAGGATCACTGAGTCCAATTCCTGGCCTGCACAGGACCATCCCCAAGAGTCACACCATGTGCCTGAGAGCATCATCCAAACACTTCTTGAACTCTGTCGGCTTGGTTCTGTGATCACTTCCCTGGGAAGCGTGTTCCAGTGCCCAACCACCCTCTGGGTGAAGAACCTTTTCCTAATATCCAACCTAAACCTCCCCTGACTCAACTTCAGGCTATTCCCTTGGCTTCTGTCACTGATCATCACAGAGAAGAGATCAGTGCCTGTCCCTCCTCTTCCTCTCACAAGGAAGTTGTGACTGCAGCGAGGTCCCTCAGTCTCCCCTTCTCCAGGCTGAACAAACCAAATGACCTCAGCTGCTCCTCATACAGCTTCTGCCCTAGGCCCTTCACCATCTTCATTGCTCTCCTTTGGACACTCTCTAACACCTCGATATCTTTTTTATGTTGTGGTGCGCAAAACTGCACACAGTATTCAAAGGGAGGCTGCACCAGCTCAGGGTCGGGTCCATTTTGATATGTGACCATTGGGTCACTTTTATTCTAAAAGACCTGAAAGCCCCAACTCCCGACTGCTTTATCGCTTTGCAAGCCCGTAGCCCACCACAGCCCCGGCACGTGGGCTGAGCCCGGGGCCTGGCCGAGGAGGGCAGCCGCCTTTCCCGCTCGACATCCCGGCGCGGATTCCCTTTCCGGCCCCAGCAGACGGACAGACGGACGGACAGACGGACGGACAGACAGACGGACGGACGGACGGACGGACAGACAGACGGACAGACATCCACGGCGGCGCTCCGACATCTCCCTCCGCTGCCACCCGCCCGCACCTGCGGCGGCGGAGGGCGCCGGGAGGGGGCGCTGCCGCCCGCTCGCCCTCAGGGCGGCGCGGGGCCGGGTCGGGGCGGGGGGAGGCGCCGCAGCCGCGCAGACGGGAACAGCGGTCGGCTCTGGGGGGGTGGGTACGCTGGGCTGTGGTTTTTCTTTCTGATTCAGGAAGCCGTAGCTGCGCCCCCCAGCCCCGCGCCCCCCTCTGCTTTTGCCGCCCGTCGGCTCCTGAGGGCTTGAACCACCTCCGGAGCGAGGCTGGGAGCGCCCCTGCCTCTGAGGAACGCGGGGTGCTCCCCACACAGCGCGGGGAAAAGCGCTTTCCCGACCCTGAGCGGCGAGTTTGATAGGAAAGACGCGGGGTTTGGAGGCGGAGAGGTGCGGGGGGGGGGGAGGTGCGGCGGCGGGGAACAAGACAGGTTTTCCCCCAGAAGTGAAATAGGGTGTTTTACTTACAACGGGTGTCGTACCTCAGGCAGGTCCCTGCGCAGCGCGATCCGCTCGCTGAGCACTTCGTTAAAGCCGTGGGTCTCCAGGCCGAGCGGCCGCTCCCCCGGAGCAGCCCCTTCCCCAGCCTGCAGGGGTAGGGACAGCGGCAGGGACTCAGGGTCCCCCTCCGCCTTCCCCTCTGGCCGCCTGCTCTGCTGCTTCACCACACGATAGCCCTTCCTGGCCTTGCTGTGGTTCCTTTTGCCCGTGGGCGACACGACGGCCACGATCAGCTCGTCCTCCCGCAGGGAGATGAAAGGCGATAGACCATCCAAAGGGTAATACTGCTGGCTCTCCTCCTGGGTCTCCAGCATCTCTTGGGTCTCCGCAAAGTCCATCTGATACCCTTCCCGGGGGTTGAACTCCACAGGCTGGAAAGTCCCTTCCTTGCTCTGGTTGCTGGGTGGTGGATTCAGCATTGTAACCATCAGTAGCAAAAAACCCAGCATCAGAAACAACAAGAGAAACTGCAGCTTACGTGATCCATATCTGCACTTCTTCCTCAAGAACATGCTGTTGGTGACAAAACAATACAGATGGTCATGTTAAATATCACTTCGATCTTCCTCAGATTCCAGTCCTCGGGTTGCACAAAAGCCCTGTTTTTCACTATCTGCCAAGAGGATTTTTTTGCTCCCCTCACATTTCACTGATGCTGTTTCATGCTTTCCTCTCTATTTACAGAAAAAAATAACATTCCTATTAATATTTTACTTACTGTAGTAAAACGTAGCATGGATCCAGTGAAATAAAGTAGATCCTTTATTGAACAGAGTCCCAGCTTAGTTAGGAAAGCACATATTTTGCTGATTAAAAGAGTAACTAAAGCTTTGATTTTTTTTCCCTTTTAAAATTCTAAGTCAAAAGAAATCCCGTTTCTTATGGTTTCCTTCCAGATAGATCCTGCTTCTTCAAAGTTTCCAATTGCTGCCTGGATTGAAGCACTGTATCTCTGAAAGCAGATCTGACAGCTCTCCTCCGTTCAGAGGCTTTAACTTAACTGTGATCAACAGATGAGAACTAGTCGGTCCGTGACTTTGTTTCACACATAACTACGGCACTCAGTCAGGAAGCACTTTGCCAGACATAATACAGAGCAATGTGTGTGTCTTTCTCTTGGTCCTAATGCCCTCGCTGTGCTTGTCCTATCAAATCAAAACTTTGCAAAAGCTGTAAGAGGTGAAATACAAGAAAAAAACCGTTGTATTAGAAAAGAAATCAGGGCACACCATCGATTGCTGTGCTTCTGAGTAGCTGTATTAGACTGAGAATGCTTGGAGCAAGAAGCAAGAATTTTATAAACTGAATAAAAGTTGGAGTGCACATGTTTTATTTAAGGTTATATTTATTCATATGATAATGTGTTAGCTGGAGTATATTTCATATCCAATAAATATTTACAGCTGTAGGGATTTTAAAACTGACATAAAGGTGCCAAATTATCACCTGGCAGGCTGAAGTTGTCTCCTCATCCATAAATTTGGTATTGCAGGGCAAGCAGCACTTTAAGTTTTCGTTAGTCCAGAAATATGTAGAAAACCTGGGCTGGAACAACAACCACTGACACTGAGAGAAAGCAGCAACTTCTGTGTTTAAAAGGGGAGCTCAGCCTCTGAGGTCTGTTTGCTAATATTGCTGGCAGTGGTGCTACTGGGCATGGACTGTGGCTTTTTTTACTGTGAGATGGATGCTTGTCCAATGGGAGAAGGAGTGAAAGAGTCCACATGCTTCAGCATCACACACCTCCTGGTCTGGCAGAGATCAGGGATGGAGGTAACTCAGGTGTTACCCACCCTTTTGATGCTGGGGCATGGCATGTGGTGTTTTGCATATCTTGTAATATTTGGTGAGCAGAAAGCTCCAGCTTCAGGAGGCATGTGATTACTGGAGAACTTTCACATTCACACGTTTATTTAAAAGTACATTTCTAGACATTATAGCCAAAAGAAAAATCTGAAGATAAGAGTGCAGTATACTCTAAAGGGAACCAAGGTTCT